TTGAAAAATATGCCCAGTCACGGTGGGAATCGAACCTACGACCTTTGGAATACTAGCCTAATGCTCTGCCAACTGAGCTACGCGGTCAGGATGGTTCGAGTAAGTGATATTTTGAAACAGAATGTAGTTCCTTCGATACCAATGTAATCTAGTAATGTGATTTTTTCTGTGTTGGTGTTGTGTACTCAGGTGAACATGATATTTGTGATGTTACTCTAAGTGTATATCCACACCGGGCTAGCTTGAAAAATATGCCCGGCCACGGTGGGAATCGAACCTACGACCTTTGGAATATATACTAGCCCAATGCTCTTCCAACTGAGCTACGCAGTCAGGACGGTTCGAGTAAGTGATATTCTGGAACAGAATCTAGTTCCTTCGATACCAATGTAATCTAGTAATATGATTTTTTCTGTGTCGATGTTGTGTACTAAGGCGAATATGATATTTGTGATGTTACTCTAAGTGTATATCTACGCCGGGTGAGCTTGAAAAATATGCTCGGCCATGGTGGGAATAGAACCTACGACCTTTGGAATACTAGCCCAATGCTCTGCCAACTGAGCTACGTGGTCAGGACGGTTCGAGTAAGTGATATTTCGGAACAGAATCTAGTTCCTTCGATACCAATGTAATCTAGTAATATGATTTTTTCTGTGTTGGTGTTGTGTAGCTGCTTGGTGTGGATATACACTCAGAGTAACATCACAAATATCATATTCACCTGAGTACACAACACCAACACAGAAAAAATTCGTAGTAGCTTTTGGGGGTGATGGGTGCCCTTTTGGGAAAACAGAGACAGCCTTGTTCTTTTCTTGTTAGCTTCTTAAATACAGGCAAAAGAGTAGTTTTAGTGGTGACAATTTTTTAGTGTTTGGAGGCAATGTTGAGGAGAGTTCTCCCTCCAAAAAATATGCACAGTATGTGTATAGGCAAATTGTAGACATGAAGGGGAAGTGTTTGAAATCAGTGGTTTGCCCCAAGAACTCCCAAACGACATGAAAATGTTAGCTGTAATGTTCTTGTGTATACACTTTATTCTATATCCTGTACAAAACTACAATGTCATCAATATCAATCCATCCTGTCACATGACTCATGTGACTTGTCACATGACCAATGCTACATCCCTCCCTTACTCTAGCTAGCAAACCTAATGTAAAATGTCTTAACAATATCAAAAAACAAATAAACTAATGTATACTATACTATACAAGTCCCGAAGTCCATACCAATATGTCTGTCTTGATAATACTAACTTATGATCCTATGAATCCTAATTATCTATTCATAAATATTCTGACCATATCTTTGGGTTGGTCGCCTGTGTCTCTGTGGATATCTCCTCCCTTGTACTTCATTTTCACCGTCTTGGTTAATTTCATCAGCTACATCATCACTTAAGTCACCTTCATTCGTTCCTTAGCTTTGACGTCATTCTCTTGGACTTGCTGTTCTTTTACAGTGTCCTGCATCTGATGCACTGGGTTTGGCAGTTTCATTTTAATTTTACGATTAAAAGTTCTGCAGGAGAGAACTTGGTTGTACTATGTGGCGTTGCATAATAATTTAACAAGGAACTATAGAGTTTCTTCTTCCAAATTCTTGTGTTCTGTAATCGCTCCTCGAATTGCTTTTGTCATGGGCTTAATTAAATTCTCAGCCTCTGAATTTGCCTGCAGCCACAGTGGTGTTATGTGTTGATGTTCAATACCCTTTTCTTGCATATATGTTTTAAATTTTGTGCTAGTGAATGGGGGGCCATTGTCACTTTTAATAATTTGTGGAAGTCCATGGGTTGAAAATATTCGCTCGAGCTTTAATATTGTTGCTTTGGCAGAGGTGGAGTGAATAACTTCCACCTCAGGGAAACGAGAATATGCATCAATAGTAACTAGAACATACTCTCTGGTGAGAAAGGGACCACTAAAGTCTAAATGTATTGTGTGCCATGGTTCAGGAGGTAGATCATTCATTTTTAGTGGTGTGGGTGGATTTGGGTGACTGTTAGCTTGGCATGCAATACAGCTGCCAATCATATCCCTAACAGCCTTATCAATGCCTGGAAACCATATTTTCTCACATATTAATTGTTTTGTTTTGACAAGGCCTTGATGACCTTCATGCGCGGTGGATATGGCTCGGTGCTGCAGTGAACGAGGAATAACAATAAGGGACCCTCGCAAAATTATATCTGCCTCGTCATTAATGGTTAATTTGTCCCGAACATTTATATACTTACGTATATCATCATTGTCTGTGTTGAGTTCATGCCATTTGGGTTTTGAATCCCACAATTGTTCACGAATAATTTTAGCAAGTCCTTGCAATGTTTTGTCCTTTTTGGTTTCATCCTTTATTTCCAGTAATGTCATCGCTTTCGAGATGGCATGGGTTGTAAGAAAATTGACATAATTCTCGACATAATTCTCTGTATGGTCGACATCTGCTTAACAGATGCTGAGACAGAAAATCTGATGCATTGTTAGCACCACTGGTATAAACAACGTTAAAGTCAAAATCTTGAATTCTGAGATTCCATCTTTCAATTCGTGCTGGTGGTTTTGACTAGGGGTTACTCAAAATCATCTTGATAGGCTTACAATCCATATATAATGTAAATTTTGCTCCAAGCAAGTAAAGATGTAATCGCTCCATTGCCCACACTATTGCCAATGCTTCACATTCAGTTTGTGAGTATCGCCTTTCAACTTCCGATAAAGATCTACTTATATAAGCAACAATTTTTTTATCATTTGTGCCTGGCATACGCTGTGATAATATCGCTGATAAACCCCAAGGTGATGCATCAGTCGTGAGTTCAGTGTGTTTATTCTGATCAAAATATGCCATAACTTTGTCACTGATGAGAGCACGTTTTACATTGTTAAATGCACACTCCTCATCATTTGTCCACCGGAAATGAGCATTCTTAACTGTCAATTTCCGGAGTGGTTCAGTAAGATCACTAAAATTCAGAATGAATTTGGCACAATACGTTGCCATGTCCAAAAAGCTACATATATCTTTCACACAACGGTGTGCAGGAGCATTCTTAATAGCTGAAACTTTTGTAGGATCTGCAGAAATGCCATCAGATGAGAAAACTAGACCAAAGAATGTTTGTTTTGATTAAACATACATTTCTCATCGTTTAAAGTTAAGCCAATTTCCATAAAACGTTGACAAACTGCTTGTAAAGCAGCATCATGCTCGTTCTGGGATTTCCCATATATGATAACATCGTCACTGATATTAAGGGCTCCAGAAATATGTTTAATTTGATCATGTATAACCTTCTGAAATATATCACTTGCAGAATTTGTTCCAAAATTCAGGAGTGTGTAGCGATGCAACCTTTTGTGGGTCGCAAACGTGGTAATGTATCTACTGTCCTTAGATAAAGTCAGCTGGTGATATCCAGATCGTAAGTCAAGTTTTGAAAATACTTTTGCCCCATTCATTTCATGGATTAAGTCGTCAACAGTAGGAGTTGGATGGCGTTCACGTTTAATTGCACAATTAGGCATTCGCATGTCAACACACAAACGTACAGTCCCATCGTTTTTCGGAATTACCACAAGAGGTGAAACCCATGGGGTGGGCCCCTCCACCTTTTCAATGATACCGTCCTTTTCAAGTTGTTTTAGCGCGGTAGAAACCTTTCCGCGTAGATGGAATGGGACTCGGCGGGCTGATTGTGCAACTGGTGGCACCTGTTTATCAATATGTAATTTGACCTCAAAATTTTTCAGTTTACCAATTCCATTATAAATGCCGGGGTATTTCTTGGCAATGTCATTTGAGGACACACTCAGACTAACTTTGTTGACATGCAAAGTGATCATATTTAATTCTGATGCTGTCTGGTAACTGAGTAATGAACCACTATTGCCTTTCACGACATGGATACTTGCAACTGTTATTCGTTTCTTACTTTCAACAACAGTGTCAAACTTTCTGATTATTGGTAATTGTTTGTTTGATCCATATGCAAATAGCTTGGTGTGAGCTCGTTGTAACACAACTGGTTTGACTTTGTTTATGTAAGCAAAAGTTGTTTCATCAATGATGTTGATTGATGCGCCTGTGTCTATTAACAGTTTGACCCGTACATTGTTAAGTTTAACTTTCACAGAAGGCATTTTTGACAGTGTGTGTTGGTGTGACAGGCATATAAGTATTCATCCTCGCTAGTACTAGACTCAGAAGAAACTGTTTCATTTTCGGGTTTGACTCGTTGAATTTTTTGCTTTGTCGTCCGATTTGATTGTCTGGCTGACGGCCATGTTTGATTTTGCATTGATCTTCGACGGTCAGTATTATTACTATGACAAACACGAGCGTAATGATTCAGTTTCGTGCATTTATGACAAGTTTGACCTTTCGCAGGACAGGGTGATTCAATATGGGGCCACGAAAGTCCACAATTTTGACATTGCTGATATACTATCGAGCGACCGATACGATTTGCTTCTTCATAAATGTTTGTTGATGCCAGCTGTTTTTCGATACCTTGAGCTTGTTTTTCACTATTTTCAAGTGCTCTTGCTTTCGAAAGTAACGCTTCAAGTGTTAAATGTTCCTCACATAGTGCGAATCTCCTCAGATGTTTTGAGCGACAGTTCTGTATAATTGCAGATTTTACTTTGTTGTTGACCTTATGAAACTCGCAGTGGGCAGCCAATCATCGAAGTCTGGTTGCAAATTGATCTGTAGTCTCGTCAATATTTTGTTTAGCCTGGCGTTTAGCCTGACCCTTATCATCAACATTTTGATTCATGAGAAAATTAGTAATAATGAAGTAGAAGCTTTGGAAAGGTGGGATATTAAATGCCAAAAATGTTTCTGTTTTCCCATTCTTTGTGTCCAAACACAGCAACATTTTAGTTCTCTAACACAAAATACCATGCAAAATTTTACTGTTCGTGCAGGTGAGGTAACGACCTCAAAATATAATTATACATGTATTGGTTAACTGTAGTCAGTTATGCTACATTTAATACATTTCCAAACCTATTATAATTAATTTTTCTTCTTTATTTTAGCTCTGATCAAACTGTCCCGAAGAGTTACGTTCAAACCACAAATTCAACCTGTCTGTCTTCCACAACAAGGTGTCAGTGTTGATGAGGTTTCTGGACAAGAATGCTAGTATACATAACTAATCAACAACAGTTTATATCTTTCTGTCTTAAACTAAAACTTTTGCAGACCTGTCCGATATACAAATACATAACCCAGATATATACGGTGGTGTAACCATAGTGGAGTGAGAGACTTCGCTGTGCCCTTATGATCACATAAACGTAAATTTTAAAATAAAAGAACATGCTCTAGAACCCCCTTACTGAACTCTGGTTACACCACAGCACAATTACCAAATACTTGTACATTAGTTACTTCCCACATGTGAAGTGTTCTATTCATGAAATCCATATCCAAAATTATTCCAACATCCATATCGACATGATGTTATTCTATAGTTCTTTTTGTCGTATGAAATGATGAAAAGCTTTGTTTCCCTAACCAAGATTTCTGCAGCAAATCCTTTCCAATTACCTCCAATTACCTCCAAAACTTAAGTCTTGCCCTGATTTCGCCTGATGATACACCACAGAATTTTGAAAGATCGCACAAGAGGCGCATTTTGTGTGTAAACTTTAGCTTGTGTGTTTGGATTGACACTCCAAATGCAGTAGAGCTTCCCTTTATGGCATCTCGCATGTGTAAAAATACTTGTTCTGGTAGATCGCATTTTATACTCCACGGATTGCGTGCTCATGGAGAAACCATCATTTGCTTGTGTGTAACCTTTAGCCACAAAAGTACTTCTGAACAAATCATAAGCCACGCAGGAGTACTAGACTCAACACTTTTTCCATTCTGCCAACTCCAGTTTCATACCTATGGTAAGTACATAACTCCTTCTTTGCTTCCTCAAGGAAGCTGTAATAATCAGGTATAGAATCCGGTATAGAATCCCACAGACATTTTAATAACTTCGTCCAGGGTATGAACAGATCTTTGCTTTGTTTTGTTTCGGCGTCTTCTTCAATAGCAACCTCGTCTAATACTTCGTCCACAGTAAAAAATACAGAGAAAGCCATTTTGTTTATTTGTAATACTAATATGTACAACCGCTGCTCATCTCATTTCGATTATCACGGTCCGTTAATGAGCCTTTTTTGCCGAAAGCTGACCTGACGTGAAGCTGAATTGCGAAGGATACAGCTCAACATCATACATCGAGATAAAGGATAAGGGCACCTATGGCTGCCACCTTATGACTCTTGACTGATCATGCAGCACCGCTGTTGATTGAAGGATTAGTTAGGGGATAATCCAGACTCACCCTGTCAGCCTTCCACCATAATTGGTATAGTTCAACGGTATATTCTGGGTACTTGTCATTTCTCCTAACCATTATGACTCAAATGTGTCTGTCTTCCTCTTTGTTATTGGTTGTATCTTTTGTGTTTGTATTTTTGTAAACATTCTTTTTTTATATATGTAAATAAATTAAATGTGAGCCTCCTTGATAAGCCTCAGCTTTTGAGGCAAACATATTATTAATAAAGTTTATATAAAATAAAAAAATTAAAAAAACCTTCCACCATGGGAGGAAACCGGAATACCCAGAGAAAACCAACAACTTTCGGTAGATGTTCGACTCATTCCAATAATCCAACACTAATATTGCAAGGAAAAGCACCATTTTATATCATCTTGAATTGCGGGGGTTGCATATTTTAGGTTTGCTGTGATTCAGAAAATGTGTTCAATGAAAAATTAAAGATTTTTCACTTTTATTAACACAAAAGATTTTGGTTGTTTGCTTTGCTACTTGTAACTTATGCTTGTAACAACTGTGAAGGGTCATTGGGTATAAAGGGTGCCAATCTATTATATACAGACAGTAATGGGATGGAATCAACCAAAACACTTTGTTTTTATAACAACAAATATTCCCCCCCCCAGCTCTTGCTGACATAATTACCCTTCCTTGAGGAGTGATTGGCACAATCTTTGTCATTAATATACCCTTTCGATAATTAAATCATTTGGCCTGGGAGCCTTGCTCTCATGAATCATGAGCCAATCACCTTGTATAATTTATTGACAAGAGTGAGGCTCCAGGACCAAACACTATGTCTGACTCAATTATCGAAAGGGTGCATTATGAATGCTGAGAAAGATTGAGACAATACATCTTTGCAACTGTTACAATATACTTTTGCACTTTGTCTTTGCAGGTAGAAGCTAGGTTCGCCAAAGTCAAAGCAAAAAAGGAAAATTCCAAACTAAAGTCAATATTGGTTTTCTTTGAAGAATGTCAAGGGAAGCACACATATGTTTGTGAGCTCCGAACTATATTAACTTATAATCATATTCTTACAAGTCAAGAAAGTGACTAAGACCACAAATCCACTAGTTGTTGCTTACAGTGGGAAGATTAAGTGGCAAAGATGATCCAAGAACTTGTGTGGAAGATGTATTAAATATAAAAGGAAATTGGTCTGTTCCTTGTGGTGGTTGCAAGCAGAAAAAAAACGAACAATTTCACCATTCGACTTTATGAAAATGGAAGCATATTGCTAGAAGGACCCTATGCTTGAGGAATATAGAAAGATTCTATAGCAATAATTTCCTCGGATTGTGAACACAATCTGGGTGTTGGTGATATTAAATCTACGCCCTCGCTATGCCTTCACTTGAGAATAATTATTTTAATAAGTTCATGACAACTCTCCTACGTCACCCTTAGACAATTCAAACTTGTCGATACACTGGATTCCAGAGCCTTCGACAGTAAATAATAAATTGAAATGTCGCGAAGGCTCTGGTTCAACAGGGAGATTCTTTGATTGAACCGTGCCAATCACAAAACAGAATTAGTGGTTTTAGTACAAAATCTGTACTAAAACCACTCATTCTGTTCTGTGATTGGCGGGGTTTAATCAAAGAATCTCCCCATTGAACCAGAGCCTTCGCAACATTTCAATTTATTATTTACTGTCGAAGGCTCTGGAATCTAGGGTAACTTGTCAATAGCTCAGTCAGTGAAATCGGCATCAAACTGAATCATCAATTGTCCTAAATGAAGTTGTAAACTCACTCGAAGTTCGAATGGCACCAATTATTTTTTGTGCAGGAAAATACATTATTGAAACAGGAAAATAAATTGCTTAAAGATGGCTATAAGAATGTTGTCACTGAGCTGAACAAGCAACTATTCTGCAAGTAGAGGATGTGGAAATACCGGAGATAAACGTAGACACAGTTGCAAAGGAAGGCCTCAAAGGTAGACAACCTATTGGCGATAAATGAAGTTCGCAAAGGTAGTGGTACAAAAAGTAACACAGTCATTGTCTGTGACTCTATGATCAAATATGTGAAAGGTTGGGAGATATCAAGTGCAACTAACCGTGTCATGGTCAAATCATTTTCCGGCACCTGCAGTGTTGAAGATACAACAGACTTTATAAAATTCTTTGTAAGAAACCTGAAAAAGTCATCCTTCACATCGGGACTAACAACTTACATAATGATGACGCCAAGACTGTTGCTGATGGCATAACCAATCTTGCACATTCTATTCAACAACAGTGTCCAGATATTGAGATCATTGTTTTGGGGGTCATCACAAGATCAGATATGTCTGCTTCAAGCAGGGTAAGAGAAACAAATAAATTGGTTAAATCTATGTGTGACCAAAATGATTGGAACTTTATACCAAATTCTAATATTAAGACTACACACTTAAAAGTCAGAGGATTACATTTAAATCCCTCTGGCAGCCTGTTGTTACAAAATAATTTATCTAAAATTTAATTACAAAATTAATCACGAGTTGTCTTAATGCTAGGAATTTTAAAATGGCATTACTTAATATCAGAGGAGGAATCAAGGTCTTCCCACAATGCATTGTGTCTCATTATTATTCACAACTTTAACAAACGTTTGGCAAAAGCTGTTGAAATACATTGCGATTTTGGCTCTGTTGATCTCGTTTTTTCGAAGATATGTTCTTATATTTGTGTTATTTAAGAACCTAATTAAACTAATTTTGACTTGTTTGGTACAGGAAATGCTTTTTAGTCATGTTAATTACATATTGTAGTTATGCCTGATCTGGGTCAGTGGACATGCCAATAAAATGACCTTGACATAATGCAGAAGCAAACTCACTTTTTTTTTAGGAAAATAAAAACAAAACACGTCATCGAATTCGGGAAGATTTTTCCTTTCTACTGTTACTTTAAAACATGAGTTTGCTCCACTAAACCGACAAGTAATTGTGGTTTGAAAATGAGGTACTTATCGCTATATTCTATCACCAATGGCGGGAATAGACCGCCTCATAATCATCATGACATGAAGGAAATTATTGTACTAATCACTATTTTCCATAATAATTTTGAAACAAACACATATCTGTTCCTATATATTTTAAGTTTAACCCATTGAGTCGCATTGCACCCTACTTTAGTATTTTACTCTGTCTAACGCCATACGATTTTACTCGTCAAGGGAAGACCGCTGCCGCTTAATGGGTTAACTGGCCTATCTGCCCATGTGTCTAGTTAACCCATTGAGTCGCATTGCACACTGATGCACCCTACTTTAGTATTTTACTCTGTCTAACGCCAGACGATTTTACTCGTGAAGGGGAGAGCGCTGGCGCTTAGTGGGTTAATGTAATTTTTAAGGTTAGATATGCTTACATTTACCTGCACTAACTGTATTTTTTTGCACTAACTGTATTTTTAGTAAATATCCAGAAAAATATAGTAAGATTAATGACCTTCAAATCCTATTTTGACCATACTGAACCAATTTTTAATGACCTTAAAATACTAAACTTATATAAATTGAATGATTTTTTAACAAGTCTATTTATGTTCCGATATTTTCATCAACAAAATCGTCCAGAAATTTTTAATAAATATTTTTTAACAAACAAATAAATCCATAATTATAACACAAGAAATGCATCATTGCTCCACAAAAGTTGTACCAGAACAAATTATAACAAACACATGCTTGGTAATAACGGCATCGATGTGTGGAATAATCTTCCGACGCAATATAAGCAAATTAGATCTCTTCCAATATTTAAATCTACAATGAAAATATATTTTCTTCTGTCAAATTTAAATAAGTAAAATTCTTGGCAGAAAGTGAAAAGCCAAATAGTTGTTATAGTCTGATATATCTTTTACGCACTTTCCTTAGTGTAAATATATCACCGTAATTCCTTTGAAAACAGTTGGACTGGTATTAACTTTTAATATCATATTATTTGAATTGTAACTAGGGACCTTAAACAAAAGCCTTATGGTTTCTAGAAGGTTCCTAGCCCTACTATTGTAAATATCTTCTATTTAAATTGTTAATTTTATAAAGTGATTTGAGCGAATATATTAAATAAATAAATAAATTCGGCTATTTTGGGGAAACTTAATAATAAAAGACGCAGACCCAGGGAAACCTAATAATAAAAGACGCAGACTTTCTCGTTTGAAAAATTCAACATCAAGCCGAACTTTGTTTCCGAGTCCTGGAACATCACCAAAGCCAAGGTGTAAAAGTACAAAGGTTTTTACAAACATAAAATACAGTATGACCATATTTTTATTATCATAGTAACAGTAACATTGTATTTTAATTCTTTTTTGTCTGGGAGAATTTCTGTCCATAACATATGAGGCTGGGTTGCAACCCCTCCAGTCAGTGTTTTATTGTTGGGCAGAATTCAGCTTTAAAAATTGGGCAATTGTTTCAAGATTGACTTAATAAACAGTATTTCTGCAAGCCTGTGTTTGTTCCTTCTAATTTATACCTCTTGTTCATCTATCAATAACCTCATATGACAATGTTGGGCAATTTCTATCTACCCGTTCACCAATATTATTTTTCAATATTGGGAGTGGCATTCCAGAAAACTTATAATACAAAAATTTCCTGGAGAAGCATGCCCCACAATCCTGGTAAAATCCATGAGTTCTTTGTTGTTGTCTAATTGTGCTGGCACTGACATTGCCCCTCTCACTGTTGCTGTTTGTTTTGTAGTTTCCTATCAGAAAAATTAAACCGACTCCTCCAA